CTTTTTTTTTTTTTTTTTTTAATGTACCATCGTGGTAACCCTGCTCAGAGCAGCTTATTACAGGCCGCTTGTGAAATTTCTTCCTACTGCATTAAGCTGAAGAGGTGGGAGCTGTGATGATTCCGTTATGTAGTAGCAAAAGTTCCACCCCCCCCCGCCCCGACCTCAAATCCACACAGCAAATTTGAATGAATGCCTGTAAAAGTTGTGGAAAATCATCCTGTTGTTATAGTGATTTCCTGGTTGGTTTGTTTTTGGTTTTTTTTTTTTTTTTTAACCTAATCTAGAGGGCTTCTGCTCTGAATCTGGAATATTGTTGTTTTCTGATCTGACCCACTTCCCAAAGTGTTTGTGTGTGAGGGAAAAGGGATACTACATCTTTAAACAGTATTTCTACATTGCCTGTGTACTTGTATGTAAAAATAAAAACAAAAAAGTTTGAAGTGTACCTGTGTACATAACTCTGTAAAGACACTGAGAAATTATACTAACTTATTTATGTTTAAAGATTTTTTTTAATCTAGAAAACAATATTTTTCCCCATAAAGCCAAAGTGGCATGTTTTTGTGCATTTGTAAATGCTCTATTTGGTAGACTTTTTTTTGGGGGGGTGGGGGGAGGTTGGGTTGGTTTTTTTTTTGTTGGGTTTTTTTTCCTTTTTCTGATAATATGGCTGTGCTTAAAGGATTGCAGACTGAGCCAATTTAATATTTTTTTTTGTAATGTGTGGGAAAAAAAAATCCAGATTGATACTGTTTCACATCAAGCAATCAATAAAGAAAACTGCCATATATATACATGTTCTTCATTAGTGTGTGTTTCAACCTCCCTCAGCCTGGCACAGGAGGAAATAAGGCTCCTTCAAGAAGGAAGAGCGAGTTCCCTTTGGGTACCTCTGTCCTTGCGGCTCCGGCGCAGGTGAAAGTAAAGGAACGCAGCTCCCGCTCTGCACCCTTAGTGCCACACTGTCATTTCTCCTCCGTGGTAACTGGGAATAACGTGCCCTCTTAATGCCAAAGAGTGGGATTTTTTTATTACTGTTTTTTGGGGGGAGGAAAATACATAGCCCGAGGTATCTCTCGCACTTGGCCGTTTGGCTCGGTAAGGCTTAAAACCCGAGCCCAGATTCGCACCTTCCCGGGCCGGACCGCTGCCGGTTCTGGACCAGAGAGCCACCAAATCCCCGAGTTTACACACACACACACACCCCCTCTCCCCCACCCCGGGGCTGCTCGGGGGGGGGCGCCGGTAACTTTCCCCCCGGCCGCCGGCCCC